TGATTAATTGCTGTAAACAATCGAGATCGAACTTGCTGTGATATATTTTGCCTTCAGATGAAATAAAATGAACTTTTAAGATACACAAGGACAATAAGGCAATTAGAAGTTATTTTTTTCACATGTGTTGGAATTTCGTGTTTTCAAACATCTGATGAGAATCATCCATAAAATGAATCAGAATGATAATAGATATGTTTTTGCAGTCGTCTCACAGATGGCCTTATTTGAACACATTCCTAAGGATAACAAACACAGAAGCTTATAGAGTTACTTCACATGCGGCTCTGGTTTGGAAGTGAGACCAGCTGAGTGAGTTCTCCGAGGCAGCCTTTTCATTTCCCTCTGTCCTTCTCAGAGCCTGGGCTGCGTCTCAGCTGAAGGAAAGGATACGTGGGTTACCATTTTGTAGTGACCCTCTTTATCCAGGCACCCACCACAGCAGCGGAGAAAACATCCTTTTATCCTTGAGACACTTCACTTTAAAGGCGAGCCCATCTGGAAGGCAGTAGGTGTTTGGTGACTGTTCCGTGAAAGGATGGATGAAGCAATTAAGACATGAGCAGATGATGTGGGACGGTGAAAGCAGGTACCAGAGAGGACTCCCTTCTCTTCTCAAGTTAGCTCTCCCTTCTATGCTTCATTTGGCGATAGTTTTTATTATGAAGGGATGTTGAATTATGGCAACTGCTTTTTCTGCATCTGTTGAAATGATCATACAGTCTTTGTCCTTGATCCTGTTAATATGGTGCATCGTGTTTATTGGTTTGCATGCCTTGAGCTATCCTTGCATCCCTGGGAGAGATTTCATTAGAATATGGTAATTAGCTTTTAGATATGCTGTAGAATTTGATTTGCTAGTATTGGGTTGTCAGAGAAATAACACATCGTGACTTTTCCAATGACTCAATATTTTGTTGAGGTTTTTGCGAGATTATGAATTCCTGGAGGTCGCGGCTCACGTGATCGGTTTGCCCAGGGCACTTCGCACACAGAAATTCTCACCTGCAATCAATGGATGTTGGCTGAGTGAGTGAGTGAGAAGAGGTGAGAAATGAGGCAGCTACTCGTCTAAGCTGCATCTAGTGCTGAAAGTCAGCGGGCTACAGTAGCTGCTTGGCAGTGGAGACCCTCTGGCCGCTGAGTGATCAGATGTACGTGGACCCCCGTGGTGCTTGGGAAGGCTGACCTGAGCATCGCCACGCCTGCTCTTGTGGTAGCTCTCACTGGTACGGACTACCATTCGCAACCTTTTGTTTTCAGTCCGTGCATATTCTTAAGACAGTCTCTTTTATTGGGTGCTGTCCTTTCATTCATTCAAGTACACTCTGTTTTTAAATTAAGAATTTAATATGTTTTCATTCAAGGTAATTGTTGATAAAGACACTATTGCCATTTTGCTACTTGTTTTCTAGTTTTGTAGATTTTTTTCCCTTGCGTCTTCCCTTACTGTTTTTCTTTGTAGGTAAGTGGTTGTCTCTAGTAGCAAGTTTTGATTTCTTGGATTTTTTATGCTTAGTGTGTCTATTACAGGTTTTTTCTTTGTAGTTATCATGAAGCTTGTAAAGCAGACTCCTTACGGTTATAATAAGTTATTGTAAACTAGTACCAACTCAACTTCGATTGTAAAGAAAAGAAAGAAAACAAACATGCTTTCTGCGTGTTTTGAAGTTTTGATGCCGCAATTCACACCTTTTTATATTCTCTATCTCTTTTAAAATTACTGTAGCTATTTTTTAATGGCTTTGTTTTCAGTCTTCATACTAAACAAATAAGTGGTTTACACAGCGTGATGATCGTATTAGAATATTCTGAATCTGTCTGTGTACTTACTTTTTCCAGTGACTTTGATGCTTTTAGGTGTTTTCAAAATAGCTAGGACAGATTTTGAATGTTCTCATCACTACAAAATGGTAGACGTTTGAGGTGATGTCTGTGCTAATTACCCCACTTAATCATTACACAACGTATGCATGCTTCAAAACATCACGCTGTACCCTACACATATGCACAATTATTACATGTTAATTACAAAGAAAATGTTTAAAAATGTTAAATACTACGAAGTTAGCATGTTTCTTCATTTCCAATTCTAACAGAAGTTTTAGAGCATTTTTAATGAATGAAATAGATAAACATATTTTTGGCTTGGTTTGCACAGAATATGTTCCAGAGGATTCTTTTGTTTCCTAAATCCACAATCAGCGATGTTAAGGACTTCAAACAAGACACGAAACATGCTACAGTCTTCCAACCGAACACTGGGGGCAATGTTTCCTGAAATTAAGTATTTTGACATGAAACTTGGGTCTATGTTATGTCACATGATTATAAAATACGTTTTACAGACATGAAAGACTATTGAGATAGTCTGGGGCCTTCCATCATTCTTTAATTCTTGTTTTGTCTCACAAGCCCAGTGAAACCAATATTCCATGCGTAACACCACACGCGCGTGCACACACACACACATCCGTAATTTTCCCAATATGATAACACTTGAGAAATGTTTTTGTTTGCAGAGGGTGAAGAGAATGAGGTAGAGTGCTATTTCTGGACATTGTTGTCTTTTTCATTGATGGAGATTCCTTTGACATTTACGGTTACTTGCCATTTATTAAAGCATTTTTTAGCAAAACTGCAGAAATCAGCAAACCTTCCTTATTGCATCTTATTAAGTTGGTTTATAGTTATTCAGATCTGTGAATTTGTTGACTTGAATAACATCATCGGGGTCCAGACAGTTACAGTTGTGATGTAACTCTCTGACTCCCATGGGAAGGTTCCAAGTTCACGTCCAGGCCCATCATGAATGTGGCAGGATAAGTTGAAGCTGGGGATGGATCACAGAATGAAGACCCTTTTGGGAGTTTCTCTCTCTCTCTCAGAATAAATGAACAAATAAACTTTAAATAAAGAACATCACTGGACATTGGGCCTTCTCTGAAACTCTGTCATAATCAACGAAGAGTGACTCAAGGTACTCATCACTGCTCCACCGCCATCTCTTGAAATCGGAGATCAGAATCTGGCTGGGAGGGAAGGGCAGGTTGAAACAACTGACTTGGAAAGTTTTGAGAATTACTTATCGATTTCTTTACACTGATTTGTACATATAGATCAAATAAGAGTTAGGGACATCAGGGGACCAGCAGGTGGCATGTGGTTAAGGCGCTGGACACTCCCACATCGCCAACCACAGCTGGAGTCCTGGACCTGGTGGCTTGCTTTTTAATTAACCCCACCCTTCAGCTCTGTGTGTCTCTCTCTCTGGTCAAAATAAAATAAGTGAATGACTAAATAAAATTACAATTAAATAACTATTTTTGAAAAGAGAGGTAAGGACATCAGAGTTCTCATAGGGAACTTGAATTTCAGGTATGGAAATGTTATGATATTGGTTGATATCACAGTGTTTCATATGTACAAAGCGTGATGGTTTGTCAACTCTCTTACTTTAGAGTTTAAGCAGATATTCCATTTTTGCTTGGTAACTCAGCACCTTTTCCCAGTCTTTCGATAGCTCATTACAGCTCCCAATAAAACGAGAGCCCTCCACCACTGCTACCCTCAGCCCTATCTCCAACTAATCCTTTACATGAACTCTCCTGTTTAGCCAAGGTCTCCAAGTAAATTCTTTTTTAAAAAAATTCACTTGTTTATTTTTTCTTTGAGAGAGAGAGACAGAGCAAGAGACAGAAGAAAGAAGGGGCACCCCCCAAGCCTCAGCCTGAGTCATGGATGAGGCTAGCACATGCACCTGGCATGTTCAGCCTGGGCCCAACATGCACACTCAGGACCTTCCCATGTGGGCCCAGTTGTGTTAAGACCGAGCCACTACCCGGTCCCCTTGAAATGAATTCTTGACCTTCTTATTTATTGTCTCTATTTCCTACTCCAGACATTTCTTCTCATTGGTATATTTCTAGCAATTCCTCAACCCCAAGTCTACTTATTCTGCAAAATGGCTTCTGAACACAGGCATGTGATTGCACTCTGAACCCTTCGTATTCATTATCTGCAGCGGCCATGTGGCTCACACATTTACAGCTTTGTTTTGAAGTTCATGTGGGCATGTTTATGCCCAGGGTGCGATTATGAATTCCTGGAGGTCACGGATCACCTAATTGGCTTAAAGGAGGTGCTCCACGCACAGCAACCCTGCAATGAATACCTGCTGACCGAGTGAGTGAACGAGTAGAGATCAAAACTGAGGCAGTGACTCCTCTAAGCGCTGTCTGAGGTAAATGATTAAGCTAGGTGCAGTAGCTCGTACTGCTCATGCTTTGGCCTGCGCTGTTGTTTTGGAAGCTAAGATCGCTGGTCACCGAGTATCAGATGTGTGGATGGACTCCCTGCAGATGTGCTGGGAGAGGACTTTGGTCCTCAGACATGAAGCAAGTACGGCTGAAGCCAGTTTGCTCTTATTTATTTATTCATTGCAGCAAGGCATGTTCTTCATGTCAATCTCTGGGCACAAAATGACCATTGCTTTTTCTTAATGTTTGTTTCCTGAAATTTTTTAAAATTTTATACATTTAATCACTGTGTATCATTACAGCATACCAAATGAATTTTCCTATCTTGAATATACTGCATATTGATCCAGTCAAAAACAGTACTATAAACATAATCAACGGATTTATTTTCATTTTCCTTAAATAATTTTTAAACTGTCACTTTGTAATGGCTATAAGTAAGTCCAGATAAATCTACCACTCTTGGGGCGACAAGGAATTTGATATTGTGACAGAAATCACAACTTTGATTTCTCTTATGTCACAACAACAGAACCATGAGATGTCGGTGGGTTCTGTGAACCAACTAGGTTGTTTTCAAATACTTCCAGCACAGACCACTTGGTACAAAGGGTCAAACACAGTCCAAACAAATGCTTGACAATAATAGGTACAAAGGACTCGTGTCCTTGGTCAATGATTAATCCTAAACTATCATAAACAAAAATGTTCTATACCTTTGATAGCAGGTTTGTACAAGGGGCAGGAAATGCAGCAGGACATCGCATCTTTCAAAGTTAGATGGCAAGCATAAGGCAGCTGAGTGATGGCAGAGGAGGAAGGGCCCTCCTTCCGAGTTCCAGGTAACACTTTGCATCTAGCTACGTGGCACGGGTTACCCACGCACTTCCCGGCTGCTAATGTACATACACCCATAATCCATGTGCCCTTAGCATTCTCACCTGCTTCTTTCATTCCATTCTCTGTTTTATGTGGGATTCCCAGAAGCTACTGTAACATGACATCATGTTTCCCTGCTGTATTTTCCCTTCTTCTGCAAATGAGAGTGCAATTAGCCATGAGAGCAGGACAGAAAGACTGCTAAGCCCATTCTGGGAATAAAAAACAAACAAACAAACAAACAGTTGCTTCATCAGAATAGCCTACGAATAAAACTGTGCCACTCACAGTAAAGAAAGGCTTGCTTTCTTTTTCTTACAGATGTGCTGGAATGTAATACAGCCCAGGGCATGTGACCGTCTCAAATGGCCTACTTGGAAGACTATGCAAATATTTCCAGTAATTTTCTGTGGCACAGAAGGTTTCTGAAGTTTAGCTTGAGGAGTTACATTGACGACCCCTTATGAGTCACATAAGATGATTTCCTTCCTCCGCTTAATCATCCGCTGTGGGATAGGCAGGATTATTAGCGGACTTTTTGGTACAAAAGAGGAGAATAAGCTCAGAGTGCCTGCAAATAAATTGCAATAAAGAAACGTGTGGACCAACCAGAAGGAGAGCAGGCCTTCGCTATGTGAGGAAACTACCATGAAAGTGAGAACCAGATGGCCCCCAGTGGTGATGGTGTCGGGGTTGCCTTGTCAGTGGGAAGAGGAAAGGGGGAGTGCTCACACCTTTTCTCCTGGCATGCCTCTGCATCCCGGGACTGTGCTCAGGTGGTAAGTTTCTATGAGCAATGACAACACAGAACAGCACAACCAACAGAGCACCTGGGCTCCAGAACCTTCCAACCGTGAAGAAAAAAATACACGAGTGAATGGAAGAAAGGCAGGGTGAGGGAACACAGAATGGAAGGGCAGAAAATAGCAACATGCCCTCTTAAACACTCTTTATGCTTCAGAATAACTTTTTTCCCCCCTAAGGATGTATGTTCTTTTCTTTTGCAAATACAGTTCTGAAGGATCGTAGGTGGGCTTTTCCCTGGGAAGCACTTTTCTCTGCTGTGTGTAACAGCCCTGCCATAGGAAAGAGCCCTCAAGTGGGTATGTACACACAGTCATGTCCCATGAGGTCCCCCTGCTCTGGTCTCAACGTGAACCCACTTGCTTGAGCCACTGTTGGTTGCTGATCTTTCGTTTTCTGTGCCCCATCTCTGTTGGTGCTCAGAGAACAAAGCCCATGAGTTCTGGAAGGACATTTGAGATTCCGTGGTTTGTTACCATTTTGTGCATGAGGTTTCCTTACAAAATTTCTTTGAGAAGTCCTCCAGTCTCCTGGGACTCTCCCTCCGCCCCCATCCACAGCCCCCTATGATAGGAAGTGAGATACTAAGTGTAACTCCTCTAGGGCAGAACTTAGGACACCAAGAACTGACGGGACACATCACTCCTCCTTCAGAGAGTTCAGGCAGACACCAGGAGGACACGGCTGCAGCGCCCTGAAATCTGCCCTTGTAACTTCCACCCATGACTCCAAGCATAGCCCCTGCAACTCTGCACGGTAAGGATTACCCTCGCTGTGAGATGAATCCTCCGTATCTGTTTGTTTTCTCGTTTCATTTTCAATGGTTCCTCAATGTCTGGTTGTTTTCTGATCATGTCCCAGTTTATTATTACCTACCAGCTGAATATTGAAAATTTACCATTTTGGTGTACTGTTTACCTGTTTTCTTTTTAAGGGGGCCTGTGCGGGTGTATTTATCATACTGTCATACTAATCTGTAGCTGTTTATGCTTTTCTTTTTAAATGCTCTCTAACCGTGCTTTTAATTTTTCTAATGATTAACGGTGGTAACGATGTCTCTGCAGTGGTCCCTGCAAGGATCAAGCACACTTCAGTCACAGCGACCCTCTGAGGCAGACACGCTCGTCATTGGTGTTTAGAAACAAAAATGACCACCAAGCCAGAGCATATGCAGGTCCGAAGCACCCAAGGTCACCAGGAGGCGAAGCACAAAGACTTGAGCCAAACACAGATGCGACGACTCCAGAGCCCACTCTCCTCCCTGCCTTCTGTTCTACCTCTCGGCGGCTCTGGGTTCCCAACGCAGCCTGTATCGTTTTGTGACTGAAGTTCTTTGGAACTTTAGCCTCGAGGCGGTGCTTTCAGAGACCCTGTTTTTCTCCTGCCCTTATCTCTGGACACACGCCCATCTTATAAATGACGCACGTGAACTGCGGAGCCTGGCAGCCAGCCTCCTGTCCTCAGGCACGCCCGGCTTTCCTTCATGTGAGTCAGAATTGCATCTGGGAGGGCCGCCTTGCCAGCCTCACTGGGGAATCTGCCTCCTTTTCTCTGACCCTCCCAGCGGCCTTGCTAATGCCCTGGTTGTGTGTGACTTTGGGAAACCTTTGCTTTTTGGTCTCTGCTTCCAGAAGGACCCATCTCTTCATCTTCATTAACCAGTAGTCAACCTTCGTGCTATTTTCAAAACCTGGGGATTGTCACCACGATGAGCCAGATATTCTGCCTTCAGTCTGACAGGTGCACAGTGAAGTCTCCAATAATGTCTCTCTCTCTCTCACTTTACTGTGAGACTTGGCAGCTGAACCAGGGTCATACCATCAAAGCTCACCTTCTCCTTCATTTGGTAAGAGATCTGTGGTGTACCCCTGCTGTGTTCATAGAACCGCTGATCTTTACCCAGACCCTGCCCAATACGCCCAACTTTCCCGCTCACAGCAGTATTTAGTTTTGGTTTTATTTTTGTGGGGAGGGGATTTTTTGACAGGCTCTTACAACACCATGATCCTCTTGTCCCAGCCTCCTAGTCAGCTAGGGCCACAGCGTCACACATCAGCACCCTCCTGCACGTGCCACTGCGACTGGGCCCACAGATGGTCCCGGAGCTATCGTGCCCTGTGAGACCCTGGGGAGAGTCTTCCTTGCCTCTCCCAGCTTCTGGAGCGGCCATTCCTGGGCTTGCAGCTGCAGCCCTCCTGTCTGCCTTTGCCGCTACTTGACATTTCCCCTACCTGTCTCCCTCTCTTCTGTTCCTAAGGACATTAGTCACCATGGGTCAAGGCCTACTCCAACGACCTGCGTACGTCTGTAAAGATCCGAGTAAGGTGGCATTCACAGCTACTGGAGCTTTTACATTTTAGCATCTCTTTTTGGGAACACAATTTAACCCATAATGGCATATTTGCTTCTTTTAAATTGTGTGCTCTCTATCTCTCTATTCTAGCCATTAATCCCACCTCAAGCAAATATAATTTTTAAGGTTAAGGTGTAGTTTACCACCCTAAATTACTATCTCACATCCCCACTGCACGTTGTGTGCTGTGTACTGGCCAGGAGGCAAATGGCTCTACTTAATCTATTTTGCTTCATTGCGCTTACCCTTACTTAAGTAAGTCAAGGTATTACCAATTCACTTTACACATATTTATGCATTACACGGAGCACCTGCTATGTGTTAGGCGATGTTCTAGAGGCTGAGGGATCCTTAAGAACTAGAATCAATACAATCTTTATTCCCATAAAACTTAAAATCCAGTGGAAGGGACAAATTCCTGCCTATCTGTTTGCCAGGGACATCTGGTCGACCTGAGGAAAGGGGCAGGATTTATGGACATGGACTTTTGATACTTAGCTCTGCCTCTTACTAAACTTGTTGTCCTGGATTCAGTTATCTAATGTCTTTGTGTCTCAGTTTGCTCATCTGTTAGAAGGGATTATTATCAGTATTTCATAGGGTTGTTGGAAGACTCATTAAATACAAATGAAATTCCAGAAGCAGGTCCAGACACATGGTAAGTCGTCTCTAAGTGCTAGTTATCATTATACTAGAAAGGCCTAACCTCACCTGGGGGCAGAGCCACAGTCCCTACAGAAATGCAAGTGAGCCAAGGCCTGAAGGATGACAGGCACTCTGGAGACAGGAAAAGAGGGGCTGAATGGGCTTTTCCAGGTAGGTTGATCAAAGAGAGGAAGCAACACCCAAGAACATTTTTCTGGGCTTTCTCTGTGCACTGTGCCAATGCCTCTCCCCTGTAGATAAGCTGAATTTCAGGCACACACTCCTTTTTTCATGTACTTTTCAAAAAGTCCACCAATCCAGTATCCAAAACTAACCTCTGATTCTCCTCTTACCAAGACCTTGCACAATATGCCCAACTTGTACAGCTATACAGTGCTGTTGTTCTCTAAAATACCTCACAAGAGGTCACCTCCCCGTGTTTCTGGCCCTGAGAAGAGAACGTCAGGAGCTCTGCACTGAGAGCTCTCTCACGTGTGTTTGTCAGCACCACACTCTGGGAGTTTCCCGGGATAGGGCTACCTAGCTGCCCTCCTGGACCTCATTCACCTCCCTTCTGACATCATTGTAGGTGCACATGGCATGCTGGGTGGGACTTTCCATCTCAGGGTTTCTGCCATTTTGTGAAATCTGAATGACATGGTTATTCAATTCTCTACACTACATTGTGCGCCCGTGTCACGGTGGGCTCACCTTGGCCTCAGCGTCTTCCATCTTGAAGGGGTATATCAAAGGACAGCCTCCAGGAAACCACAAACCCTTCCTGCCTACTTTACCCCTGCACAACTTCCAATGGGGTGTCTGCAGTCTTTCTCTACAAATGTCCAGATAGTAAATATCTTAGGTTTGGGCCATGTGGTCCCTGTCACAACTACTCAGCTCTGTTGTTCTAGTGACAAGCAGCTAGAGGCAACACGCAGATGAGTGGGCAAGCTGTGCTCTGATAAAACTTTATTTATAAAACCGTTTAACTAGCAGGATTGGACTGCAAGCCATGGTTTGCCTCTCTTTGTCTCAGACTATAAAATTTCCTTGGTAAAAGTTAAAGTTGTTATCTAGTGTGAAGCCGTGGTGGATTTATGCTTAAGTTCAACACAGTTGAAACCAGTTTTTCCTACTAAAATTAGCTCCCTCCCAGATTTCTCTGTTTCTGGGAATGATAGCAGCAATTCTCAACTCATATGCATTTAAAAACATGGTGTTGAATATTTGATTCCACCTGTGACTAACTTTCATGCTTCCGTCTGTGTATTTCTATTTGCATAGCTGTCATCACCATAGCTCTTCACACCTGCATTCATTTTCTTGGCTTTTGGACTGGCTAACTTGTCATAGGTTTTTCTCACCAACTTCATAAGCTTTGGGGTTACATGTTCTTAAAATAGTGCTTTCACCAATCCTTTGATGTCCAGTCTTCCAAATATACTGGACTCTGACTCACCTGCCTTCTGCCCTCACTCTCTCCCTATGGCCCACCATGCTATTATCCCTAGTAGGGAGTCTGTGCTGCTTTGATCTCTGACCATGTTGTCCGACTCATGTGATTCCCTCTGTTCAGAATAACCTCTTACCACAAAATGCTGGTCCCCACCAGACCCAGCCTCAGAAGAAAACTTTACCCTGTCCTCTCTCTGATGCCTTTTGGCCTATTCTACCCTCTCCTGATGTCTCCTGTCTCTGAATTCTTATGGTACAGGTCATTTCTAAGACTCATTTGTTCCTTAGTCCTATGGGACCTTGCATCCTTTTGTAATATCTCAGAAGTGTGTCCTTTCT